TTATGATTCTTATAAAATTAAAAATTATAGTTTTTCATGATTACTCAAAAGCTGATTGCCCAGATTTTGAATCGTTTATATTCTTTGTTATTCCTTTAAAGTTTCTATGTTTTTCCTCTTGGTTAAAACCTCAAAGAGAGGGCAGGCTTAGGAAGAGAAATGCGGACCATGTGTAAGCTCCCCCGGCAAGTTGATGCCATATTAGCACTCTAGGGGGAGTACCGGCTGGCCACGGAGATATACCAGTTTAGGTGTCATTTATGTCCATGTCTGATAGTAAAGAGATTCTAGTGAAACATCACTATTTTGACTATTTTCCCATGTTTATATTTTGATTGAGAAGACGGTCCCTCAATGAATTATTTGTTCTTTTATTTTGAATATGAAGGACAGATCAATTAAAACCAATTGTGATAGAATACAATAAAAGAGGGGATAAATGCCTTGAGGATGGGAATTTTCTCTATTGGTTTTTGTTTAATTCTATCTATCTAATACTATTTAGAATAGGACAATATTTTAGACGTGTGTGTGTGTGTGTGTGTGTGTGTGTGTGTGTGTAAATATTGCCAAAAGGTCCTGATTATTTTCTTGCATATACAGAAGTTTCTGAATGAGATAATAAGTGGGAATGTAATTATGAGTTAATATACCATAAAAAGTGAATGAAGGAAAGTATCAATAAATAAAATTCTTACACAATCCAAAAGGTCCCTCTAATTTATCCTGAAATGGAATTCCCATAATTCTACTTATAATCACATTTTATACTCTTAGCAAACACACGTTTTGGGAGGTGACAGGTGTTTGTTTAGTTTTGTTCTTGTCTGGACAAACTAATGGAAGTGTTGAATGATGTCTATAAGGTAAGGAATATTGGGGAGCTATAAGTTGTGATTTTGATTATATAACTACTTCAAGATTTATTTATTGAAGGAAGATATTTTTGTCTCAATGGTCAGATTTCACGTGAAAATAGTCACAATGAATTTGGAATTTATTTCTCTTTGATTTCAAATGAGGAAATCAAATCTATCAGGCATTCCATATTATAATATTTCTAATCAGAGGGAAAAGACCTTAACATAAATGAAGACTTTAAACCCAGTATTGAAATCAATTAATAGATGTTCTATTTGTTCTTTTCAATGTCCAGCATAAGCTACTGCATATTCCTGAACAGCAATATATCCAACATATGTCAGTTACATTATTTGTTCCATTTCTGAATTTCTCAGATTAAAATTTTCCCCAAAACATTGGGATCTTTTAAGCAACATCTTTGGGGGGATTCTGTTAGCAGCGCAGTGTACAAGCAACTGCTTAATTTCCAGCAACTTAATATTATAAAATAATATTTGGCAATTTAGGTATTAAATAAGTAATGATGTTCCTTCACCTCACCTGATTTACTTATCATACATGAATAAAAATATATATAAACAAATTACCTGAGGATTTTTAACTTAACTACATTTGCTTACTACTTCTGCTTTAAATTCAAGAATACAAATTTGAACCCTGGCTGGTGTGTTTCAGTTGGTTGGAGCATTTTTTGTTTATGCATGGAAGGGTCACAGGTTCAATCCCCAGTTGGGGCATATGTGGGAGGTAATTGATGGATGCTTCTCTCTCCCTCTACCTTCCTTTCTCTCTAAAATCAATAAAATAATCATCAAGTGAGAATTAAAAAAGAAAATAGTATCAATTTGACTACCAAACATTTGTGATCATTATCCTATTTTAAATATACCAAGATTTTCCTTGATTCCAGGAATAAAAAAACCAAAGGTCAAATGTTTGGAAATATTCGAGTTCTTAACCAGAGACCATCATTAACCTCATAAATTTCATATCCTGCTCCCTGATTTTTCTGAAGAATTAAGATTTTAAAAAATCCTCCTCCATTGCAACTAGAAATACAAAATAAAAAAGTAGTTGACTAAAATAGAGGGGAAATTTCTGGGATGATAGAAATATTTTATTCTCCATAAATTATGTTTACATTTTCTGTTGAAACCTCCAGTTCCCTGAGTGTTTATATTTTTCCAAAGTAAATTTTATATCAATATTTTTATTGTTATTTTTCATTTTTATTTTTGGTTGGTTTAAAAAAATTATAATGGGTACCTCTCTCTTTCAGTCTATATTGCCAGTGAATTTAGTCACACTGCTTGTCTCTTTGCTTCCAGTTTATGAGGCCAAAGTTGAACAAACACCAAGACTAGGTCTGCTGACCTTTCCATGAACCTCTGGGTGTCCCTGGAGCTCTGATTCAGGCAGAGTGATTTGTCCAGTGCTGCCTGCAGGCCACTGATTAGTTTTTCAGTCATCCTAATCAAATAGAAGCTCATTTAATTCGTGTAATAGCATCTTGAAAAAGTACACTGACCAGTTTGCTAAAATCCTAATGTATCTACTGGTTTAGAAATTAAATATGAAAAAGAATTTTATTTTACCACCATCTTTAGTTTATTTGAATCTTCCCTGATCATTAATTTTCAGGGACTTTTCTCCATTATTAACTCACATGAAATGGTGAACACAGAAGAAATAAAATTCTCATATTTCCAACTGATCCACAAACCAGTAGAACCAGAACACCTAGAAGTCTTAGTAATTCTTGAAATTGTAGTAGCAAATTAACAATGGTTAATTCAAGGGAAGTAAGAAAAAACAGAGCAATCAAATGGGTGAGGATAAATTGGTATTTTAAAAAGAGACAGAAGAATTAAGCAAAACATGGAAAAACGCTTCCTCAGTTCTGAAATATTTAGAGAAGTTTTAGAAGTAGCTAATCAAACTTTTAAACTAATTATAGTTAGTATTTGTAATTAAAATCAAGCTATGAAAGTCCTAAACAGGAGACTCTTAGTTAAAAAGCACATGGGAATAATGGAAGTGTGGAAAATAGTGTTGAAATTATGAGGCTAGATTACAGAGGCCTTTTTAAAAAACTTAAATTATTAAAATCTATACAGGTATAAGTCTCTAGAGTTGAAATACTATAGCATTTCTATAAGTAGTTATAGCACATTCAGGCTATTGGCTCTAAAGGCTAAGCACATCCTAATATACTTAAGTCATGCCAGAGAACATTATTATAGGTAACTCGTTAGTAAGTCCTTAATAAGTCAACTAGCCATCCCCCAAATTAGTTTTGAAATAATATAAAGCTGACTAAAATAAGTGCTATAATATTGGAATACCTAACATGCTGTGGGAATAGAGAGAAAATGGTGATTCATTCCTAATTTTAATGGAGGGCAGAATTATTATAGCCCCAAGGCCTTTGTGTGGGCATTCAAGAATGGGCACATCACCCTGACCAGTTTGGCTCAGTGGTAGAGCATCAGCTTGTGGACTGAAAGGTCCCAAGTTCAATTCTGGTCAAGGGCATGTACCTGGGTTGTGGGCACATCCCCAGTAGGAGGAGTGCAGGAGGCAGCTGATTGATGTTTCTAACTATCCCTAGCCCTTCCTCTCTGTAAAAAATCAATAAAATATATTAAAAAAAAAGAATGGGCACATCTTGGAAATTATTATGTCTGGTTGATATGACACATATTCAGAGAACAATTATAAAATGCTGATCAGTAAAAAGAAGAACTGTTGTCCCATAAAAAAACAACTCGTAATCCCATTATTTGGGAAAAATACCATTGTTAACAATTTTTTTTCTATATGCAGAGACATATACATTTATGATATTTATAATAAATGTGCAATTTTTTTTACAACTTCTCCCCAGTATGTGGAATGTTCACATCTTTCTGGAATTTATTTTCAGATAATAATGTCTTTATATGTGTATATCTATATCTTATTAAGCAATTATTTCGTGGATGCTGATTGAGGCACTGGGAAATTCACTGCAAACTTTTATCATAAATAAGTTTGGCAAAGTACCAAAATGTAGCAGGGAGAGCATCTATTTTTGAAAAGGTGGTGAACAATATGGGTCCTTCCAAGAAAATTAGATGTATCTGCAAAGTTCAGAGTTCACCACCCCCAAAACCTACCCATGAACCAATTGGGCCAATGATTGAGACTCTTAAGAAAAATAAGGCCCAATTAAAAAAAATATTATTTTAGCATCATGGCAATCACATGGATGAAATGATGCTTAAATAAGGATGTGGGTAGTTTCGACAGTGAGGTGCAACAGCTGGGGTATATATGTGAAGCTTAACTTTATTTACCTAAAGGAGAGAAAATCCAACCACCATGCCTTAAAGGTTTTGCAAATATGTAGAAGTAAACATCCCAAAGTTACCTCTGTGAACCTTTAAATGGAAAGTTTCTTATTTTAAGTTTACAAATAAAGTTATCAAGTTTACAAGATAGTAGAAAGACTGTTCTGGTATCGGTAATTTGATTTTTTAAAAAAATTGAAACCAGTAAACATTCCAGCCAGTCTCAGCTATTGTCTGTCTGGCTTCTGTACAACATTATCATTAGCATCTTTCATCTAAATAATTCACTATAATGTTATTAATGAGTCTTGTTTCTCTACCAAATACCCCTTCTCTTGGTACCATATTATCCAGGAATAATGAAAGGAAATTCAGCTTGCGGTTTCTCTGGCTTAGCTCTGTCTCTGGAGAAGGATGCGGGGAAGGGGAAGGAAGGGAGAGGGTCTTGCTTCTGTCTACATATAATCAGTTCTTTATTCTCTAAGACCATTCGTTGCACTATAGTGCTCATGCGGGGAACTCCTCTGCCTGAATCCTATTTCCACATCTGATATTTGACACCAGCCCTCACAGTGAGAAAGGCCACAGAAGCAAATCCAGAGGCACTGAATTTACATACAATCAGCCCTGAGAGGTCTCTCCGGTTGGTTTCTTTTCCCTGTTGTCACTCATTAGAGAACGAGTTTACCCACAGCCATCAGCCCAGCACATCCAAGCTGGACCCAGGCCAAGAACAAGCAGCACTGCTGAGATCTGGGCAGCGAGGTGGAAGGGTGAGTGAGGCACCACCGGTTGGATGAAAACATGCGAGGCCTGCTGGGCAGCAGCTGGAGGAAGTTTGGGCATGCTGGCAGGGGCACCTACGAGTGGCTGACGAGCGAACCGAGCCTACCTCTTCAGGAAACCCAGCTGCAGGTCTGTACCTATTGCCTTTTCTTCCCCAACGTACATCATGTTTAAACCAGCAGTGCCTGTTATGTTTAGGATCTTAAAACTTAGTGGCAACATTTTACATGGTGGGTATGACAAAAATCTGATTTCACCGATTGGCGTGGTCTAAGGAAGTAACTTGAAAGTTGTATTCTTGTAATTCAAGTGAAACTAGACACTTATATTCTAAGGATACCTGATATAGCAAGTATGTCAAAGAATCCCGGAAATTAGGGATCAACAAAATGTTATGCCTTGGTTTCACAATTTTGTTCTTTGCTCAGTAAGCAATGTCTACACATACAACACTAAGAAACTTCCTTTGGCTCTCCGGCTGCATAATGACCACTGTTTCTCAGAGAAGCCAAGATCTGACTTCCAAAAGGGTAGTCGAGGGTTAAGGAGGTTCTGTCTCGACTAAGACAGCTGCTTTGCTCTGTCTGGGAAATCATCAAAGAAGCATCAAGCTGAGAAGCATTAAGGTAAAATATTGGCAGAAACCTAAGAACTCAGAATTAATTTTATCATCAGTAGGGAAATGTAGTGGGACCACTATCTCTTAAGCAAAAGGAAAACAGACCTAGTTTCTTTTTTATTGGAAAATCAACTGATCAGATTGGTATATAAGTTCTACAAAACCGCCTTTTACAGAAAAATACTTATACATGCATATATAATGATATTTTTTCAGCAGTTACACTTTTAACTGGATATTTCTCTAAAACATTCCCTGAACAATAAAGTCTTTGCATCAATATACACATCTGAGAGATATTAAAAGTTAAGAAACCACTTTGAAGGAAGTGAACAAATCAGGACATCTAGTTAAAGATGACGTCCATTCTGCACTTTGAAAAAGCAGAACAATTTGAACTTATCATGAATCAGTAAATAAGTTAAATTTGTCCACAGCTCTATGCAACCCTTCACTAGGAAACAGGAACGCTTTATCTCAAGAAATTGTCATAATCTGCTGCGTCAGATAAGCAGTGCCCCTCAGTATTTGGACAATTCAAGTTCGCCTGTGGAAGTTCTGATTGCAGGAGTGAACTGTGGTGTTTCTCCTTTCATAGATTTTTGCAGCTAGTATTGATAATAGCAAAAGTGGCATAATAGTGAATAACAGGATTTATTACAAAAAATCTTTTAAATAGAACATTAAATATTTTTATGTTTTATGCATAGTGAATGTCCAGTCTGCAATAATTTAAATGTTGATGCCCACAACTATTGAGAAACTATGATCAGCCATACAACCGATGGAAAATGAAAAAAATAATCATGCAAAATGGTCCATGTTTAACAAGATTAAAGAGTGATTTTTTTTAAGTACTAAGAGATAATAGCTTTAAATTTTTTAATGATTAAGGGGGAGAAGACAAACATAGTTAAGTTGCTTTTTGATTTCTTAATAATTGTAAATTATTTATGAGTCCATCTACTCTTACAGCTTTTGTAATCGAAGTCCCTCCAGATTTTAAGTGAATAGTTCTGATAATAAACTAGTTTATGTGTGAGAAAACAAAGAATCCATAGTTTAGAAATGTTAAGAATCACACACACAAAAATATTCTTCTGACATAAAAATATTAATGTTGCTAAATCATTTTCTCAGAAAATATTTATCTATTAAAATACAAACTGGGAATGCCAAAGTTTTCCCTCACTAAATGTTCATCCTTATCAATAGATCCAAATACATAATAAACACCTAATACCCACCAAGTGCTTTGCATGTAGTGATTCACTAGATCCTCATTCTAATCCATTCAGAAATGTTATTTTCATTTCATAAAAGAAATGAAAATAACATTTTCATTTCATTTCATAAGTGAAATGAAAATGAAAACCTGGGCCCAGAGGGCACCAGTGAGTGATCCGTGGCCACACAGCTATTAGAAGGTGGCCTGAAATCCAAAGGCAGAGTGGTCAAACCCCAAACATGATACTCTGCTTCCCAACAAAACCTTCTATTCTTATACATTTCAAACTAAAATATCTTAACTCGTGTCTTACCAAAGACAAACATCTGGCAGTACAAGTATTAAATAAACCACCCAATTTTCAGTCAAAGTAACACACATACTTGTAAATCCTTTAAGAAGTAAATATGATTATATGGTCAATGCTAGATAAGCCAGTCTCTTAAAGGTCATGGCCAGAAAAAACAATTGTCCTTTCCAACAAAATCAAGAGAACCCAGCTCTCAGTTTTATTATGTCTTATTTTAAACAAGTTGATAAAGAGCTTAGTATTTTGTTGTCTTAAACACAATTAAGGCTTTAGTGGTTGTGTGTGGGTTTTTGTTTTTTTGTTTTTTTTACTTTCCTTTAGTAATGGGTATAAATATTTACATTTGTTGCTGTATGCTTTATACAATAAAGAAGCATTTTAATTTTTCATTATTTCTTAGTGGCTTCTTTTAAAGTAACATCTATGCAATCTGCAACAGTATTTTTGTATTATTTTTCTACCTTGCTGTTGAAATATCATTTCATGCCTGTTATAGTATTTACTCCATCAGGACTCATAATTATCTTCTGAGCTAATGCTAAAAATCAACATCTCATAGGTTGCCTTAGAATTTATGTGCAATTCTTTTCCTTAAGAGTTTAAACTTTTTCACTTTTATCCTACAAATGTTTTAAGAACAAATAGAAGAAAATGTAAATCTATCCTGAGTCATCCGTCAAATCAGACTAGAAATGTTACTTACATGTGATGTGAATACATATCAGATTTTACTCCACAATTAAAGAAATTAAGTCTCATATGATTTGTTTGTGGCAATAAAACACTATTGGTCTAATTCCAAAGAAAATACATAAATAGAGTTATTCAAAGAATGAGGGATGGACCTACCTTCTAAAATGTATTCTAATGTGTATCCTTTAGTGGAAATACTGTAGGATGCCATCAACATGTATTTTGGACATTTTATTTTTAAAAATATATATATATTATTGATTTTCTACAGAGAGGAAGGAAGAGAGATAGTTAGAAACATTGATGAGAGAGAAACGTCGATCAGCTGCCTCCTGCACACCCCCCCATTGGGGATGTGCCGGCAACCAAGGTACATGCCCCTGACTGGAATTGAACCCGGGACCCCTCAGTCCGCAGGCCAATGCTCCATCCACTGAGCCAAACCCATCTTTGGCTTTTTGAACATTTTAAATCCACACTTTTATCTTGTCAATTTGCTCAATTCCATGTAGGCTCACGTTCATGGGCATAAGTGAACGAACAAGTGATTTCTAGAGTGAGCAAGCCATGATCAGAATGAAAGGTGAAAGACAGGGAACGCCTGTTGCCCTCTCCTAACCCGGCCGCATCCCCTCCCTGCAGGGCACCCAGCAGATCAGTTCCAGCAAAGATGACGTGGAGCCCTTCCTGTGCATCCTGCTGCCGGCCACCATCGTGCTGTTCTTGGCCTTCCTGCTGCTCTTCCTGCACCGCCTGTGCCGGGTGCCGCGGCCGCAGGGCCAGGTCTTCACCATCGACCTGGCCGAGCACCCGCCCGCTGGGGAGGACGCGGACCTCCTGCCCGGCTTGCCCTGGAGCGGGGAGCAGGACTTCCCCTACTCGCCCCTGCCCATGGAGGCGGCCCCCCTGTCCGCGGGCCTGCCCCCCTCCTACGAGGAGGCCACCAGGGACCCCCCTGGGGAAGAGGCCCCGGGTGTGGGCCTTCGGGAGGCAGAGGGGCGGCCCGGGCTGCAGGAGCCCGTGTAGACAGACTGCTCCTGGGAACCATGCACCGCCCAGCTGTCACCCTGCATGGAGCGGCCTGAGAGGCCAGCAGACAGGGCATCGGGCCAGAAGGCCGACTCCTGGGGGAAGGGGACCCGAGGCTGGTCACATGTCAGCCCAGTCAACCCGACTACAAGCTCCTTAAGAGAAACCTTGCCCAGGTTGTTTTACAGATGCCAGGGATCTTCCAAAATGTATAACCCTCCCGAGGGAAGAATACATAAAAGGCCAGTTGTATGTGCGCTGAGAACAAGAACTAGAATTACTGGTGAGCTTAAGAACTAGCTCCGAAGAGACAGCAGACACATGCCGAGAAGCCCAGGATCACTGCTTTTGCCACAAATAAAAGGTTTCCTCCCACACAGGCCTCTCCCTTCTGGGTGAGGGTGTCAGGGTGGCTAGAGAGTTCCAGAAGGAGGGAAAAATACCTCTAGAGCCCAGTGGTCACGGTGTTGTAAATAATGGTGAGATGTCTCAATATTGATAATGAAAGGACAGATTCTTTGCATACATTTTTGTTCAAAAAATAATAAAGCTCTCCCAGATCATCTCCTCCTTGGTGTGGCTCTTGCTTCCTAGGGTGGCAGGTCAGGGTTAGTTAGCTGCGTGGGCACGGCTGACCCTGCAAAGTGGGGGCCCAAGAGCTGCTGCCCTAACACCTGCTCTCCGGGGACGCTGGGACAAGCCCTGAGGCCCTCACCAAGCAGCACTCACACAGCAGAAATCATGTTAGCATTGGAAGGTACAGGTCAGAGATTTGGATCACCTGAGCAACACCCATTAATTAGCACTTACCTTATAAATCACATAGTCCAAACTCTTGCTTCACAGGTGTCAGAACTGGAGCTCAGAGAGTCCAACTGACCTGTCAGATGGCCAGTGCCTCAGGGGAGGCAGAGCCTGGCGTCTCTGTCCTAGGCTGCAGCCCTCCACGGAGTCAGACCTTCTCCCAGAAAACTGCAAGTGGGGAATTTCAGTCAGTGCCCCTGACTGGGGGGTCAGGCCTCGCAGTAGGATGAACACAGCTGAGTTGGGACTAGATGAAAATCTCCCTTTGCGATTTCCCGTGGGGAGGGGGAAGGGGATCATGTGCCACTGGGGAGGATGATCAGGATATCCATGAGGCTGGGGGAGTGACATGTCCAGTCCTTATATTCTTACTCCACGATATAACTTTTTGGGGAAATATTTTTACTTTTTACTCACAGTACAAAGTGCAAAAGTAGACAACCACTTTGGATGTGAACATTTTTATGCTGGATATGCAATGTGGCACAGCTTTAGGAAAATAAAATAATCTAAAATAGAACACATTTATTTTTAAATGTAATCTGGTAGGAATAATAGTACCTTTGAGGACTGAAGCAAAATATAACCTATTTGAATTAAATGAATACAACTTTTTTCATGAGATCTATATGGAACAATTTCCTTGTAGTCTTTAAGGGAAGTAAGTAAATGGAAATGAGCGGCTCAGCAGAGAGCCTGCTTCGGGTTTTATTTTTTTTTTTTTTAATCCTAAGGCTCTAGTTCTGTGTGAGACTCTGTTGATTCTCTCCCAACTGTGTTGTCTTTCTTTTTCCTTGTTAACAGATCCCTGATTTGGTTCTGGGATCCTGGAGCCATCTATGAAAATCAGACCAGAGCCCTCCAATGCCAGGGGACTTATATCCTGATAGTTAATCATGCGGATCTCCATGCCTTTACCAGGACTGATTTTGTTTTGGGATTAAGGGAAGACCTATATAGAAAGGCAGGCTTGTTTTTTGTGGGTTATTTTTTAAGGGTTGCCTAATATTAAAAATAGATCCATGAAAGGAAACACCTTGCCTCTTTGCTGTATGTTATGTATCTGCCTGCGATGCCCAGGGCTGCTATAGCCATCTTGCAACCATGAGCTAAGACAACAGCCAGGACTAATATGGAACAGTAAAGAAGAAAGATGGAAAACCCCTGGGTTGATTGCATTGTAGAGCAGCTGAATTAACCCTGCAACTATCTGCTTATTAGTGAGAGCATATCCTTCCTACTGCTTCACACCACTTAAGCCAGGCTTGTTACTTTAGGAAAAAGCAGGTCAATTCCGACAATTTTCAGGGATATAAAGGAAATGCATCGCCATGTTTTAAAATGTTCTGATAAGACGTATTTGAAATAAGTAGTCAAAGCCAGGACTCATTTGCAATGTTAGCTGAGATCGAGGAAAGGAAACATTTTCTCTTATGGAAGCAAACGGAAGCAGCGAACAGGCTATTAACCTGGCATGGCCAAACTATAGCCCGCAATCCTAATTCCATTTGTTATTGGACAACCTGACAGACAAGAACGGTTTCCACATTTTTTAAATAACTGAACAAAACATCAAAAGAATAATATTTCATGACACAGAAAAATTAAATGGATTAAAATTTTGGCGTCTACGAACAAAGTGATTGGGACACAGCCGTGCCCACTTGCCTATGGCTGCCCCCTCACAGTTGAGTAGGCACAACAGAGACTATATAACTTTCAAAGCCCCATTTACCGTCTGGTTCTTAACGAAAAAGCGTGCTTGACCCTTGTATAGACCAGTGGATTCCAACCCAAGAAGCCTGGTATAATAACCTGAGGAGCTTTTAGCAATACTGACACCAGAACTCACTTAGACCAGAGCCAAATAATATCAAATTACAATAACTGAAATTTCTTAGTCAACAGAACCAAATAATATCAAATACAATAACTGAAATTTCTTTTGAGAGCCACATTTTTTAAACTTAAACTTCTAACGCCACTTCTTCAAAATAGACTCGCCCAGGCCATGGTATTTTGTGGAAGGGGCCAAAGAGCCACATGTGGCTCGAGAGCCGCAGTTTGCCGACCACAGACTTAGACCAATTAAATAGAAACAGATCCAGTGACTCATATGAAGGTCAGGGTGAACATTCTTGCTTTAGGTAACATGAGGGGCCACAGAATACATGTAGACAGACATGCGGTCACAGGGCTAGAGAAAACTCGGTGTGTAAATGTAGCTTTAAGCCAACATTTTACCTTCTCAGTAAACTCTTTCCTGAAGCCATCAGCCTAACCTGCAGTCAACTGGGTTCACCAAACAGGATTTCCAAGCAGAATATTAGGAATAACCGTGTAAACAGTGTATCCTTGTTTAAATGTTGACCACTGGCAAGCATGAGCAGTATGGGCTGCTAGCCACCCAAGAAAGGCAGAGGGGAGTTGAGGAAAACCCACAAATAAAAGAACTGGACTGTTCACAGCTAAGAAGTATTTTGGCAGAAATAACTATAGCCAGAAAAGATTAAACATGGGACGGAGTATAATAAAAACAGTGGCTAGAATGTGGACATTTTCACAAATTTCTACCCTGGACCAGACAATATCCTTAATGCATCATTTTATAAAAAACAAAAAGGAGTCCATTTCTGGTCTGGCCTGTAAGAAGGTTGGTAGTCATCGCTCTGTCCCAGCAACAAGAAAAAGCTGAACAAACTGAAAATTCAACATTTCTCCTTAGTTCCATAAGAGACCTGAGGTCACAAACCGCTGCCCCCAGAGACAGACAGACTCAGAGGGTCACGACTCACCGGAGCAGAAGTCCACCAGCCGGAACCTCCTCCGGAACCAGTATCGAAGGGGAAGCTTGAAGTGTAGTTGGCGAACTGCAGGGCTCAGAGGACAAAGCTCAGAAGTAACTGCCTCCAAGAGCCCCACAGGTTCTCCCAATGAAGGAAGGCCCGAGGAAAATCCCCTGCAGCTTCTAGCAAGGGGCGGGGAAAAGGAACCACTTGGAAATCCACCCCTCTTAACAAGGCCTGCCCTCAGGAGACACCATTTAAACAAGGTCTCACCTGCCCAGGCTTTATCAGAGCCTGAGTGGTCTGGGGAGGAGACATACCCAGCCCCAGCTGGCTCTAGCCTAATGCAGAGGAAGGAAAATCCCCAGCCCCAGCCCTCTGGCCACCTGATGCCACTTAAGGGGGTGAAGAAAAAAAAAAGAAAAAGAAAAGAAAAAAGAAAAACCAGTGAAGCACTTGTGAAGTTCCCTTTGCAAAAGCAAAGGCTTACAAAAACCGACACCTAATCATAGGACTATGAACACGCCTCCAACACCCACCTAACCTCCACAATAGTAAAGGTCTACTTACTGCACTTTCCTTTACCCAAGACATCAAGTCCACCATATTAAAAGGCAAAAAGAGACTGAGCAAGCATTAGAACCAGACTCAGATATGGCCCGGGTGTTGTTTGGAAATGTCAGACCAGAAATGTAAAATAACTATGATTAATAGGCAAAAGGCGCTATTAGGAGAAGTGGACCACATGCAGGAACAACATGCAGTCAGCAGAGAGATGGAAATCCTAATAGAGAACCATGAAAAATGCTTGAGATAAAAGACATGGTAAAGAATGAAGACTGTCTTTGATGGGCTTAATAAAATGGACATAGTTGAGAAAGAATCTCTGAGCTTAAGCATGTTAATAGAAACTTTCCACAAAAAAAAGACAGTGATTATTTAAAAACAAACAAACAAACAAAAAACATACACATACACACCACAGAACAGAATATCCAAGAACTGTGGGAGACAACTATAACAAAGGTGCTACATACCTGTAATGGGGATATCAGAATGAGAAGAAAAAGGGAAAGAACCAGAAGAAATACTGAAGCAATAATGATGGCAAATTTTGCCAAATTAATGTCAAACCATAGATAGACCCAGGGAACTCAGAACATTATGCAGAAATAATACAATCAAATAAATAACAAAAACCCTACGCCTCAGCATATATTCAAACTGCAAAAAAACCAAAATAAAGAAAAGGAACCTTGAAAGAAGCCATTGGACCAGGACATTGAGAGGAGGAAAACCACCTACCTCAATTTTGTATCTTGAAAAATTATTCTTTTTTTAAAAAAATATATTTTATTGATTTTGTACAGAGAAGAAGGGAGAGAGAGAGAGTTAGAAACATCGATG